TGAACCACTAAGTGTAGACTTAGATTTCTGAAATATTTAATAATGTATTCGATTAAATATATCAACAGCTCACATATGTTGCTCTGGGTTTTGTTTTTCTACAGAATATTTTTAAGCAGGTTATATTGTTTCCATTTTTCTTTGCCATCAACAGTTATTTGACCAGTCAATGTGATGGTAGATGCCTACAATCCCAGCACTTGGGAGGCTGAGAGTTCAAAGTCAGTCTGGGATGAATAGTGAGACCTATCTTAAAACATCTAATTATTGTTTGTGTCCTAAGACTCTAACAATACCAGGCCTGTAACAATTTTCGGGCTTCTGTTTTTGAAGAGTAAGTGTATTTGAACGAACTATGCTAGGTAGGTTATTGCTTCTTTGTTCAAGCCAAATTTAGAAATCATTAAGTCAGAGATAGAGGTACATGTCTATAATCTCAGCACTTGGAAGACTGAGGGAGAAGAATCAAAGCTAGCTTGGATTACAAAGAGACTTGATTGCCAGCCTGGCAACTTAGGAAGAAGCTATCTCAAAAAATAAGTAAATGAAAGTAAAAGATATGGCCTGGAAAGGTGGCTCAAAGGAAGAGTGCATGCCTTGTATGCATGAGGCCCTGGGTTCAATTCCTCACCACCACATAAGCAGAAAAAAGCTAGAAGTGGCATTATGGCTCAAGTGGTTGAGGGCTAGCCTTGAGCTAAAGAACTGAGGGACAGCGCCCAGGCCCAGAGTTCAGGCCTCATGACCGACACAAAATAAATACATAAAAAATAAAAAGAGGAGATATAGATGTCATTCAACAGTAGAGCAATTACCTTCCTATGTCTGTGTACATGATAAGGAAGATGTGGACATTTACTGAGCACAGTAGCACCAAGTAGCAGTTCAAGGTGCTTTATAAATATGCTTCATTGAATCCTAATAAGACTAGATGGTATGATTCTTATATTGGAGAAAACTTGTTCTAGTTAGTGAAAGAGATAAGATCTAAACTCATCCAGTCCATATAATTGTTCATCCCAAAGTAAGAGTTTCTATGGACTTTTTTAAAGGAAATCACAGCAAAAGGAATGAAGATGCAAAAGTCAGATGAAGACAGAAGGTAAGCACTGAATGCTGAATATTAACAGTATATTAAATTTAACTGAACCTTGCTACAAATTTGTAATAATCCCAGATTTGTTATATTCTTTGAAGGCTAAAAAGATAAGGACAAACTAGCCGCTTTAGAAGCACATTAACCCCTAAAGTGACAACTGAAATTTCTCCTGTGCGTTAAACCAGTGTCTTATTTGATATGATTCTAAGAAGTTTCATAACACAGTCCAAAGCTAATTGAAAAGAAAATTTAAAAGAAAACTTAATGATGAATGGCCCAAACAAGGTAACCCAGGACCAAGATCTCCAGAGTCAGCTTCATTTAATTCAGAATTTCTAGCAGAGCAGTGGGTTGTGGACCTACTTCATAAACATTTCTCAAAACTGTGACTTTAAATGTTGGGCCAAGACTCCCATTACCCATCAGTTTAAATCACCTTATAGAGTTTGAGCCATCTACTGAGAATATTTTTCCAAATAAGAGATTTTTTTCATCTTTTTACAAAAGTGTTCAATGACCAGGTATGATGATTCACACCTGTAATACCAGCACTCACAAGGCTGAGGTAGAAGGATGGCTAAGTTTGAGGCCAGTCTGGGCTACATCCTAAATGTCTTGAGTATCGTTAGATTTTATTAAAAATGGTTTTTCTCCCTGTTCCAACATATGAACAAATGCATAAAGTACTCTGCACTCTTATCTCCATTGAACATGGATGCTACTACCATTTTAGTCTAAAATTTAAAAAAATATTATATACAAATACAGTTGTTTTGTCTGGCTCCGAAGTCCATGTTCCCATGGAAATGCTACACTGGCAGGCTTAGAGACATTAGCCTGCAATAAGCCTTCAAGTAAACTGATTATTATTACATTCCAATCCTAGACACTTGTTTCCTAGTATCTTCACATAAAGCCCAACACTGGATTTACCAGTAGTCTAGGCCACCACACAAAGAAATATGCCCCAAATTAGGGGAATAAACATTAAGTTGGCACATCAAATGGGAATCATTATACCACTATTTCTACTATGAACATGTTTCAAAAGAACTGTTTGGCTGGCACTGGTGGTTCACACCTGTGATCCTAGCTATTCAGGAGGCTGAGATCTGAGGATTGCAGTTCAAAGTCAGTTAGGAGAGGAAAGTCCATGAGACTCTTATCTCCAATTAACCACATAAGGATGGAAGTTGAGCTATGGCTCAAGTGGTAGAGTGCTAGCCTTGAGCACAAAATCTGAAGGACAGCACCCAGGCCCAGAGTTCAAACCCCAGGACTGGCCAAAAAAAAAAAAGAGCTTCTAGGAAGAAAAGTCTAATATAGGATATGTATAACAATTCCACATTTAAAAATGGTTTCACATTAGATTCGGGGTGTAGTCAGATGAGGATATCGTCAGAACACAGCTATGTGTACATGGAGTAACAAAATAAATGTCAAGAGAGAACGTAAAAGGATGCACAGGTAAACAAGTAGCAGGTGAAAGAAAAAAAAACCACCACCATAATTTCCAGGCTGAGAAAGAGTACAAATAATACAGGCCAGAGAGGCAGAATTGCCATGCAAGTGGGCCACAATGTGTGCTCCACAATGGTAAAAGAACTAGAAAGGTGCAACAAGGTAGGTAGCTTCCCGGGAGCTAGCTACTCAGGAGGCTGAGATCTGAGAATCATGGCTCAATACTAGCCCAGGAAGAAAAAAGTCCATAAGACTCTTGTCTCCAATAAAATACTCAGAAAAAGCTGGAAGTGGTGCTGTGGCTCAGCTGGTAGAGTGCTAGCCATGAGCACAGAGGCAGGCTCAGGAACTAAGTTTAAGCCCTAGAACTGGGGGGTGATGGGGGAAAGGAGAAAAGATTTAACAAGGTGGGCTGTTGCACTCACTATGAATGAAATTGGGAAGCCAGAGCTGAGATTGCTATTGCTTTGTGATGCTATTAGGGTGCCCTCTGCTGATATTCACTAGTTAGTGAAGCTCACAGCACTAGAAATTTTCAAATATATGGCTTGCAACCCAGGTAGTTAAATCCTGAGTGCTGAAACAATTTGTCTGCCTGAGATTGAAAAAGAAAAAAAAAAGGTGGTTAATATTCAAAAGCTCCATCTGGGTGAAAAATGACTTTTCCAGGGACATTTCCTCTGTCCCAAGTTTGTAAGGTTTGTTTTATATATATAGCTAAAGCAGCAGCCTTGAAGTTGATTTTGATCATGTATATTCCTGTTATCTCTTCTCCCTTTCAACATTTTCTTTTTAAAAAAATAGCGATAACCTTTATTTATTTTGTGCTAAATTTATTCTTGTGCCCTAAGTTTTGGGTCCTTCGGTTTCTTCTGGGATACCTTTTTCTTCTGTGCACCCTCCTCTGCTAGTTTAGGAACAACTAGCTCCTTTTCAATAAGGATCATCTCAGTGTGCCAGAGGGAGCTCACCATGGGCTCTGGAAGCTCTATGGTGCATCAGTCAGTCTCAACAAAAGCATCTCTGGAAGTGAGGAATTCATATAGGAAAAGATGTGATATATGATAGAGTACTCAACTATAGATTGGGCTGGGGGTGGGGTAGGTCTCTCCCTAGCTCTCATTTCTTCGGGTTAAAACCCTTTCACCAGGCACAGGTAGGTTATGCCTATAATCCTAGCTACTCGGGAGACTGAGATCTGAGAATTACGGCAGGAAAGTCCATGAGATTCATCTCCAACTAGCCACCAAAAAAAACAGAAGTGGAAGTGTGGCTCAAGTGGTACAGTACCAACCTTGAGAGAAAAAGCTAAGGGGCAGTTACCAAACTGAATTCAAGCCACAATATGGCACCAAAAAAAACACCTTTGTTCATATTTAAAAAATAATAATAATCTGCTCAGAGACAGGGCTTTCTGAATTACTTCATTCAAACTAAGTCCTAAATTCTTTTAGGCAGGAGTAAAAGTAACTTTTGAAACTATTATTAAAATAGCTGGTGGCTCACACCTTTAATCCTAGCTTCACAAGTTTGAGATCTGAGGATCACAGTTCAAGGCCAGCCCAGGCAAGGAAGTCTGTGAGACTCTCATCACCGATTAACCACTAAAAACCAGAAGTGGAGCTGTGGCTCAAGGTGGACAGCACTAGCATTGAGTAAAAAAGCTCAGGAACAGCACCCAAGCCCCAAGTTAAAGTACCAGGACTGGCATGCACAACACATGCACATGCGCGTGTACACACACACACACACACACACACACATACACATACACACAAAGATCGAAAATATTATTAAAATAAAAACATAGAGCATACTACACTTACTAAAATCAGTTTCTCAAACTTTTATTCTGGTTATTTTTTAGATAGTTGTTGCAATACAAAAGGTATCTTAGCTGGATGTGGTCGTTCATACCTCTAATACTGCCTCCAGAAGGCTGGGCAGGAGGACTACAAGTCTAAGGCCAGCCTGGGTTACACAGCAAGGTCCACGTTAACCTCGGCTACGTTTTGAGAACATGTCTCAAAACAAACAAACTGAAAGATACATAACTTATTACACTTTCAAACTCAGAGATGTAGAAAATTTCTTAAAACCCTACATAGTTTAGGTTGTGTTGTCACAGATTCATTTGCCCTAAAATTATTCCAAGACAAGTAAATCACAAAGTATGAAATCACAACTTAATATGGTAAGGTAGAACAAAGCTAAAATTTATTTGGTGCATACTCTGCTTGCTATCAGGATTTTCATACATTTTCCCTTAATAAATAAAAGCAACCCATGTGAGGTATTTTACAGGTTAAGAAAAAAAATACACTACTTCCTTAGTCAATGAAAAGGGCACTTATAAGCATTCCAAAATAAAAGCAAAACAAGATAAAGTAGGGGGGAGAGAGAGAGAGAGAGAGAGGAAGAGAAAGAATTTTCTTTTAGACAATCCTTTACATATATAACACATTTGTAATAATAGGAGAAAAGAAAAACAAATAAAAAAACCTTCATGGTGATTTTTGTCCACAGGTGCTCTTTAATCTTTCAATTATAAACTTAAAGCACAAGGGATATGTTTTTCATATCTGAGACAATTTCAAGATGATATAATACTTTGAAAAAATTGTGGTCATAGGAACACATTATTAGATTAAAATCAGCAGTTTTCAGAGGCAATTCACAACAAAGAAAGAGAATGGCAACTGCTCAACTAATAGAAATGACTTAAACGAAATAACTTGGCCAAAGTGGGAAAATTGTAGGAGAAATGTAAAAAATGTAGCACCACCATTATCTCAATGAATGGCAACTTTCAACAAGTAAAAATTACCTAAGTATTACATATTATGGTTTTCAAATAATCTATTCTCAAATTTAGAAATTCAAGTCATATAAGCTGTTATATGAAGGTTTCCTTCTAATTAGAAATTCAACACTAACATCAAGTCATTTTACAAGATAAAAAAATAATTTTCCCAAATAGTAGCTACTGAATTTTTTCAAAGAAAATATCAACAATACATATACCCATATGTAAACTTTTCCCAAAAGAAATAGTTTTAAAAATAAGCAGCTAATGTGGGCAAATTGTAAATGTACACTCAGAGCACTGAAGTTTGGCAGAGAGAGAGGTGCTACCAGAGATATCTTGGTCACTCCAGGTATGCTTGTACTACTGTAGAAGTTCTGGTTTATATTAATTGGCATCTTGAAGTCTGAAAGACCATGTTGCCATTTTTTGACCTCTCTAATTTTTTCACTTTATTGAATTTTTTTTTCACAATCTCCCTAGTCTTTCTAAAACCATGCCACAAAGTACAGCTTACAGACAAACTAGATGTGAAAGATGGTTTATTTATGGGCTCTCTTAACTGACTGCTGGCAGCAAAAGTAATCGCACCAAATTATATTTTATAATCAAGTACTGCCTGATACATGTAGAGTGTGCAACTGTGCATGTATTGTTCTCAGTGAACATTCATCCTCAATGAATAAAGTTGTTACCAGCACACAAAACTTCATATGACTTATTTTAAGTGACTGCTGGTTCCAGATGATTAAAAACCACAAACTGTGTGGCAGCAATTTTAATACATATACAGTTCTTTAAAAGATAGTTTTAAAGTTATCACATAGCAGTGGAATATCATTTTTTAAAAACAAATGACATTTATACCATAAGGCTTTGTGGTTGAATAATCAGAAAATGAAAGAAAACATTAAATTAAAAATAAAATGTTTCCTGTTAGAATTAATTCTCTCCTTTCTAAAATGGCTGATTTTAGACATTATAATATTCAAACAAAAGGTTCTTGGAATTTCTAGAAAAGAACTTTTGTAGCAGTAATTGATGAGGTCAGATTATCTGGCAATCTGAAAATCAATCTGATGGTAGTCAGAAGATACAACTGTTTATTTTTCAGTAAGTTTATTACATTTGAAACAATACAGAAATTTCAAAAGTTTACTCATTAAATATAGTTTAATTTTTACAAATCTCTTCTTGAAAATGTAATTTACATATGCTGAAACCTCAGAAGTGTGAATTAAAATGAAATATGAAGGAACTAGTCAGGGAAATCACATCAGAGTGTTTTGTCAAATATCTGTACAAATCAAGTACATAGCTCTTCTGTGATACAGTAGGAAAAAAATGATTCTAAATATATTTCAAGTAAATGCAGAAAAATACATTGCTATTTGAGGCAGATCATGCTAAAATATAATTTACAATGATTAGTTTGCATTTAAGATGATCAATAATGCTTTTGAAAGTGATGAAATCAAAGTAAGTTCTGAAGTATTTGCTCAGTCTTTTGTACTAAACATCAGTACATCTGAAAAGTTAAATTGGAAAAAGCAAATGATCTGATCTTCCTCGTTACCCATATCATTCTCACTCAGTCATACTAAATGCAAACAAGCCAATACAGCATCAAGATTTTTCACATGAAGACTGATAACTTATGCAGGTAGACTCTGTACCACAAAGTATGTAGTAGGTGAGCTTGAAGTTACCATCAACTCAATGTTTTAATAACATTAAAATTTACAAGCTAAAATAAACATTTGATTTAAAAATTCTGCTATTCAAGATTAACTTCATTGTCCATTTTCTCTTTGAGATTGGTTAAGGATTGGGTCATTAAAAACCTGAAGAGGAGTTTGGGAGAGGAAAAAAAATCCTCAGTGCTTTAAAAAAAAAACTCAACTGGTTAGAAGTCCACTCAACTGTTATGCTGGCTGGCATGGAAACAGGTGCCTTCTTTCACAAAACCGTTGACTTTCCTTCCACAGCAGTTTCTTCAAGCCAACTATACAAAGACGTAAACCAGCTTACTCATGATTAAAACTGAAGTAAACCTGCAAAGGAGCAAGAACCTTCATCCAAAAAGATCTTTTAAATCATTGCTAGCTGAACTGCTATTGGTCATAGGAGGTGGTGGCTGTGCAAAGTTCTGTGGGTTAAAGAAAGGGTTGCCCTGCACACCAAAGGCAGACTGTCCCATCAAATTCACCTGTGCGCCCACCACTGAACTGCCCATACCTGGAGAGCCTTGAGGAGGTACAAACTGATTAAGCCACTGATTTGGTTTCTGTTGTGACAGTTGATTCATACTAACTTTGGGTTTCTGAGGACCAAAGAGATTATTAAGGGCAGACATATCTGTGGGTCTTTGTTGGGGCTGCTTCACCCCAGCAGGAGGTACATTCAGAGCACTGAAGTTTGGCAGAGTGGGAGGTGCTCCCAGAGACATCTTGGTCACTCCAGGTGTGCTTGTACTACTGAAGAAGTTCTGGTTTGTATTAACTGGCATGTTGAATCCTGAAGTCTGAAAGCCCATGTTGCCATTTAAGCCGTTTGTCAAATTCCTCTTTGTATTATCAATCGGTGTAGAAAACATCATGCCCAGGCCCGTGGAAGGAACGGAAGTAAAAGTACTGGAAGCAGGAAGTTTAGGGGTACTAACAGAAAGGCTTGACAAAGATGACATATTATCCATCAATGTGTCTGTTAAGTCCTTTGTCTGAAAAATAGGAGAACACTCCTTTATTGTCAAGCAACCCAACTGCTTTATAATTATGAAACATTTGGTAGATTAAATTTTAAAGGACAAATACTCAACACCAAGTTAACAAACTACAGCCTGCAGGACAATTAACAGCTGCATTCTGTTTTTCTATAGTTTTACAGATGATTATTTGTAATCAGTTTGGTAACAGTAAACACAAACTACAAATTTATATTAAGTGAAATGTTATCTTCCCCAAACAAAAATGCATGTCTCACTAGAACATCTACTAGAACAAAAGGATGCTATGTAATTTTCAAATTTTGGATTTCGTGAACATTTTCTTGTATTAGTACTTGAAAAATATTCCAAATTTTGTCTGTTTCCCTGAAAAGATTCTTTTCCTCAGAGAATTTACCCATCAAAAGGTAACAACAAAATGATTTATATAAAGCCTTTAAGATGAAGTAATTTATTTTAGAGAATATAAGTCCTCTCTAATCAGGGTCCTTATTCACAGCCATAGCACCAGCATTCATAACAATGCTAAAACACAGCAGGAAGTAAATTCTGCTCAGGTGATACCAATACATCTTCCTAAACTGAAAATCCAAAATCAGAAATCACTTTAAGCTCAAAAAATATATAAGAGCATGAATATAATTATTTCTGGTCATTTCAAGGTGAACACTGCTCTGGTAGTATAATGGTACCTAATCTTCAAAAACCAAACAAACAAACAAACAAAAACCCTCATATTGACCCAGCTTCCTCTTTATCAGTAACAAGTCTGTCACAAAACATTCTACATTAGGCAAGTTATAAAACAGTTGTTAGAAAATCCTTATGTTCATACTTTTTAATATTAACACTTTACATATGGAAGTATTCTTTGAAATATATCTACTACAAACACTAGTAGACTAGTTTATTAGTTTACTTTCCTTAATAGAAATACAACTGAAATGATACAAATAAATGAGGTCTGACCTGTTTAACTGGAGCAATGGGTGTGTGTACTTGGGGCTTAAGAGGCTGCTGGCTTTTCAACTTATGTGCTTGCTCCTGTTCTTTTGCTAATTTCTGTTTCTCTTCAAGTGTAAGTGATGCCTTAAATGAAAATAGGGGAAAAAAATCAACTGGCAACTTCAAATTCCATTTGTAAAAAAAAAATTCATCTTTAGCAAAGCATATACTGTGTTTGACAATCCTTACTACTACATTGGTGATTTCCACAAGTAGGTTATATTTCTAGTTACTACTATATCTAATTCCAGATATGAACTCACAGGATCTATGCTAAAATACTCTAGCATAAAGCAAGTATTACTTTAAATTTTTTCATTAAAATCATCTTTGGAACCAGGTACTAATGGCTCATACCTATAATCTAAGCTATTCAGGGGATTGAGATTCGAGGGTTAAAGTTCAAAGCCAGGCTGGACAGACAGATCTGAAAGACTCTTACCTCCAACTAACCAGCAAAAGGCTGGAAGTAAAGGGATGGCTCAGTGGTAGAGAGCACTCAGGTGCACACGCACGCACGCACATGCGCAAACAAACACGTTTTCCCCCATACTATAAGAATAGGGCGGAGCTGGGAAGGTGGCTCAGTGGTAGAGCGCTTGCCTTGCATGCCTGAGGCCCTGGGTTCGATTCCTCAGCACCACATAAGCAAAAAAGAAAAACCTGGAAGTGACGCTGTGGCTCAAGGGGCAGGGCGCTAGCCTTGAGCTGAAGAGCAGAGGGACAGCGCCCAGGCCCAGAGTTCAGGCCCCACAACCGGACCCCCCCACCAAAAAAAAGAATAGGGCCAAGTAATTTTGTCCTATAAATCTGGAAGTTCTTGTTAAACTCTATAATTTGTCTGACTCTAAAAGAGCTAAGAAGAACTAAAAAACAAAAAGAAAGCACAGTTTTTAACTGCCAATGTCAGCATCAACTCAATATTCTCTTTCACTAAATCTTGTTTAGAGTGTAAGTTCACAATATTTTCTTACAATTTTGTGAACTACTATGTCCTATAGGCCCTTATCTTTACATATTCAGTATTCATATTTTTGTGAAGAACTGACCTCAGCAAAGCCTGACACAGTATTTTTACTGGATGCTAAACAAAATTTCAATAGGAAAGTGTTTTATAGTTTACTATTCAAAATTGGAGGAGGAACAAAACCAGTAGGAGGAAAAAAAATGTATCCAGATTCTCTATCTGCTTTGAAATAGAATCAAATCTATTTTAAAAGGTCTCTTCAAATAGCATTAATTCACCTTTTAATTTTGTTCTTTTTTATTGTTATTATAAAGGTGATATACAGACAGTTGCAGTTATGTAAGTCAGGCAATGAGTACATTTCCTTTTTGGACAATGTCACCCCTCGCTCTGTCCCAATTTGTCCCTTCCATCCCCCACACACATTTTCAAATAGTGTCTAGTGAGTTGATTCACCTGTAATAAGTCATTCTGACATCAGGTGCCCCTAGCAGAATAATCTCCATCACTTCTGTGTTATTCTTGTCAAAAATCTACAACCTTAGCCTAATTATCAGAAAATACCAAGCAAGCCAGATATGGTGGTATATACCTGTAATCCCAGAACTTGGTAGGCTGAAGAAGGATCTTGAGTTTGAGGCCAGCCTCAACTACATAGCAAATCCAGGCCAGTCCCTAACCTAAACCATCCCTTCAAAAAAATCAGACAAAAACTGAAGGTCATGCTACTATCATTTATTCTTCAAATGGATCACAAAACAGAGAATGAAAGGAAATAACGTGGGTGAGGTTGCTGGGCTCAATTGGTGGCGATGTACAGGGAGAGAATTAAGATAAGAAAAAGCGACAACTAGAAAGAGCCCAAGGAGATGGATAGCACAAATCTGCTATGGAGACCACCATCACAGGGACAATAGAGAAGAGCCTAGGGACCAAGTGCAAAGAGTCAGGCAGTCTAGGAATGTCACCATGTGAGAGGCTACATAATAAAGGAATCTAAAAATCTTAAGTATGTTTATTCTCAATATGGGCAAAGGCCATGTCACTGTTAAGACATTTCATAAAGATAAATACAGAACAATTTTTAGACAGTTACTGTATTTTCCAATAAATACTTATAGTTTAAACAAAGTATCTAAAAATGATAAAGAAACTCACTCTTTTATGTTTATTCTGTATCCCATCTTCTTTATTTTCTGATTCACCACCAGTCAAAAGGTCTGTTCCAATATTGTTAAAAACCTTGTCAATCTGCTGACATAGAAAAATGTCCACTGATTGAAGTCATTTCCATAAAAATGTGATTTTACTAGTTAATATTTAAAACACTCTTAAATGAAGACAATGTCAAGCACTTTCTTAAAAACTTAAACATCTTCTTACCTGATTCCCAGCATGTGTAATTTTGGTGTCCTCAGAAGAATTCATTTGATTTCCTATGTCCAAAGATCTATAGAAATGAATAATAATAACAAAACAAGAGAAATGAACTTAGATCTCTCTTTAAGGAAAGTTATAATCTTTTCACTATTTTCTACTATAAATATCTGCTGGCTCAAATGTATATATTTTCTTTAAAATTCAACAGTTGGGACTTACTGGAGAATATACTCAGAGTGCCATAAAATAAAGCAAGTTCAGCTCTGTCAAAGAACTTATTATAATCCAGGTGCTGGTGGTTTATGCCTATAATCCTAGCTACAAAGGAGGCTGAGATCTGACGATTGAGGGATTGAGGTTCATAACCAACCCAGGCAGGAAAGTCCTCATGAGACTCTTAAGTCCAATTAACTACCGGAAAACCAGAAGTGGAGCTGTGGCTCACAGTGGTAGTGTTAGCCCTGAGCAAAAAAGCTCACGGACAGCACCTAGGCCCTGAGTTCAAGACCCTGACTGACAGAAACAAAAACAAAATAACTTATTATAAATGTCACTGAAAGACAACATATGATATGGAGAACTGATCATTAATTTCAGAATGACACTAACAAGAACTAATAATCACTGTGACAGAGACTGATCTATGCCTGGAAAAGTAGGTAAGCTTTAGAAAGGAGGAAGAAAGAGGGAAGGATCTATTTCCCCACTCATATATAAATAACAAATACTAAAAGTGGGTTTCATGGGTACAGATTTAACTTAGTGGTACATCCTTAGCAAATGCAAGACCCTATGTTTAATCCCCAAGCATTAAAAGAAAGTTTTTAATATTTTTATTTTTTAATTATTTTTATTAGCATACTGTAGTATATGGGGGAGTATTCATCATAACATTGCCATTCATGTATAAAATATAACCTTATCAAACCTACCCTTCTATCAGTCAGTCTCCCTTACTCTTCTCTCCCTTCAAAGGTACTTTCAGTAGGTTTCACAACATTCTGTTCTCATATATGCAATAAACTACTTCAACCCATCTTAAACATATTCTTCTAGGTTCCTACCTTAACAGAGCCAAGACATCAAACTTCACATACATATGCACCACAGAATACTTAGAGCCTACAAAGGACTCTCTCACTTTTTTCTATAGTACATGTATTTATTTCCATAAATCTTACCTTATACTGGGGCAGAAGCTAAAAAGTTTCTATTTGGGGACCTTGCTCATGATTGAAAGCAATTTTGCTGATTTTCAGATGCCTTTTGGTTTATGATTTTAGTACTTTAATATATATCCCAGATTTATGTACTTTGCACTGTGACAAAGAATATAGTGAATTTTTGACTAAAATAAAATACCATTCCCCAGTGAATTATTTCCATCTTTACAACACGAGTGTTGTACAAATAATTTAGAAAATCCCCCTTAAAAACAAAAAGAGGTGGATGTTGCTGTATTATAAATGCTCCTGAGGTTGAGGAAAACCAAAACACAAGCAGCTCATAAATTTGGAAAATATTTATAAGTGATCCATTTCATGTTCAGCAACCTGTGTTTATAATACTAGTGGCTAATATTGACAAAAGATTTATTTTAGAAACAGAATTTTCTTTTTGTAATATATTGAATTAAACATTTGTACTCAAAGATTAGATTTGATTTTCAACAATATCTTACTCTAGCTCATTTCAAACTATTAACAAGTTGGGGACTTTTTTTTAATGTTTTACATATGACTAAATAAAATGCAGAACATATTCTATTCCATATTTCAGAAAATCAATCATGACATAATTTTAATTTCACCCCCAAACAATGTGCAACCTACTTACTTCTGCTGCTCTTGCATTATATGAAGTTGCTCCAGTTTGGTCTTATGTTCAGACTCCAATCTGTTAAGCATTTCTTTTATGACGGAAATGAAAGAATTGAACTGGTATAATAAGAAATTGATATGGTTATAACATCTCAAGTGTAGGGTAGATGTAACCAATTAAAATAATTCAATAAGCTAAACAATATTCTCCATTTTTTAATCCCAGCATCATGGTGCAATGATAAAATAATTAAACACAAAATATCATAAGAAGCTTTGCAATCTTCATATAATAGAGAAATGATGGTTAATGAGGCTTTAAATTCCAAAAAAAAAATCTTTGTGCTTATCAGGAAATATTTCATTTAAGGATATAAAGAAAATTTCCATTTATTCAGATTGTTATAAATATAATATCTTTGACTAACATTGTTACAGGAAAAGTCAGTCTAAATATTAAATATCATAACTCAACTTTTTAGTTAATAGAGAACAAGCTATGGTTAAACATTGGTTAATTACTTATAATTCTTATGATACTTCTAAGGGCATCATTAATAATTTATTTTAATGGCCTATATTATAGGAAGGATCTACAAAACACTTTGCTACCCTTCCCAAATTTTACAACTGTACCTCTGTGCTGAGTGCGTATAAGTATATGCACAGAGGTATATACATATATCTGTATATATGTGTGTGTATATATGTACCTCTGTGCATATTATGTATATATGTGTGTACATATATGTATATATACACAAATATGTACATATTTTATTTTATTACTTCACTATTCTTCCAACTTAGTTTATTAATACTTCTATTTTACCTCTGAGGACAGTTGGGATCAGTGTAAGATAATTACCTCACACACTATCTTACATAGCAGTTACAACTCATACTATCTCTGAAAAGCTTATGCTCTTTTCAACATTACACTGCCTCTTCCTAGGCTGTCAGCAACTGCTGCTTCATCATGTCATGAAAATAACAAAAGGCATATTTCCTTAATGGTTTACCATGACTGACTTCCTGCTGATTAAACTTTTAAAAACTTTTAAAATATACTAACAGAAAAATCTAAATGCATAGTTCAAAATTTCACAAACCAAACATACTCAATTTAACGAATAGCCAAGGGGGAAAATACAAGTTTCCTATATCATCTTATATTAATTTTCTACCTCCATACCTTTTAGGTGACTTTCAGTAGCATAAATTAGTTTAGACTGTTTTTATACTTCATATAGATGGAATCATTCAGAAGATTCTTTTCTATGTCTGGGTCATTAACTCAATATTTTGTTTGTAAAATTCATTCATATTGTTTTACATTTAGCTTGTGCAGAAAAGGGTTAACATTGTTATTTTTGGAAGAATCTGCTGGCAAGGCTGGCTGGCCTTTGGCCGTGTCTGGGCACTTACGATTTTAGGAAGGTTCCTCAGTGGTTTGTCATGACTAACCTGTTTGTACAAAGAACATGTTCCATGCTGAACATGTGCTTTTCCTTCTGGGAATCTGGAATTTGAGAGCATGCTTGGCAGAGGGTACTACTTGATCAGCTCTCAATAAAACTCTTGAGTGCCAAGTATGTAGTATTAGTTGGTAACATTTCTCATGGACTGCCAGACTTACTTCAGAACAGAAAGCAGAGCATATCCTGAATGCTTTTTCCCAGAGCCATTTCCCCCAGAATGGGTTCTATGCATCTTTTTTCCTTTCCCAACTATGCTTGCTAGCTTTTCACCATCACCAATCAACTGAGTACAACTACTTGTGCTGCACTGAGTCATCTCATGGGGTACTCTTAGAAACCCTTTCCTAAATGCAGTATAGACAATGCAGTTATGTGCTATTCTCTATTTTTAAAAATGCAAAAATTTGCAAAAAATTTTCTATTTTTAAATCAAAATGCAAAAAGATGCAAAAAATACATAAAATGTATTTTCCTAAGCTACTGTATTTCATTTAATTATAATATACCTAAATTATTTTAAGTCACAGCTGACACAAAGGGTAGTCTTGAATTAGGAACCCTGACCATGAAATGAACAGGAAAGTAAACTATATCCATAATAAATTAATGGGAAACATCCTAAGACATAATTCATGTATATCTGCAGACAAAAATGGTTCTTACGCCAGGTGCCAGTGGCTCATGCCTGTAATCCTAACTACTCAGGAGGCTGAGATCTGAGGATCACAGTTCAAAGCCAGCCGGGGCAGGAAAGTCTGTGAGACTCTTATCTCCAATACGCCGCTCGAAAACTGGAAGTGGCGCTGTGGCTCAAGTGGTAGAGCGCGCCTTGAGCTAAAGAGCTAGACCAGAGTTCAAGCCCCAGAACCAACCAAAAAAAAAAAAAAAAAGTTCTTAAAAACAAAAATCAAGGCCAACCACTGGTGGCTCACACCTGTAATCCTAGCTACTCAGTAGGCTAAGGCCTGAGGATCCAAAGCCAGCCCTTGCAGGAATGTCCATGAGATTCTTTTTTTTTTTTTTTGGTCAGTTGTGGGGCTTGGACTCTGGTTCTGAGTGCTGTCCCTCAGCTCTTCAGCTCAAGGCTGGCGCTCTACCACTTGAGCCATAGCACCACTTCTGGTTTTTCTGGTAGTTTACTGAAGAGTCTCAGGACTTTCCTGACTAGGCTGGTTTTGAACTGTAATCCTCAGATCTCAGCCTCCTTTGTAGCTAGGATTACAGGCAGGAGCCACCAGTGCCCGGCTTCTGTGAGATTCTTATCTCCAATTAACCACCAGAAAACTGGAAGTGGTGGTGTGGCTCAAGTGGTAGAGCACTCACCTTGAGCTTCATGAAGAGCTCAGGGAGAGTGCCCAGGCCCAGAGTTAAAGCCCCACAACCAGCCCCCCCTCCCTACCCCCCTGCCAAAAAAAATCACAATGCTGACAAAAACACATATCAAGTAGAATTATATATATATATAATAAATTTGAAAATATTTTAAAACATCTTAAATCAGAAATACAAGAACTAAGAACAGAAATAAAAAGTTGAAGACTGTTATAAGTATATTATCTTATTCTTTCACAATATTCATTATCTCTCATTTTGCCAGCCATAAAGCCAATCCTGCCACCATGATATAAAGCAAGTATTAATTTAGGTACAACCTTCCTTTGTTTATTATTTTTCTTTTATAAAATCCCTAATTCTAAATGCTTCTTGTCTGTCCCTCCCAGAGGTTCTCAGTTAAACTGAACTCTTCTCAGTCTTTTACATTATATTTCATTAAACACCAGCTCTATTATGAGCAAAATGTGGATTTTTGCTATGCTATATGTCAAATTTCTGTTTCTAGCACTGTGATAAGGCTGGGGATAAATGAAGGATAAGTTGCAATACCCAGCATTTGAAGGGTTCAAAATCTGCAGGAAGAATCACTATAAGCACACAGCTGTGGTAAGTACAAAGGGAATGCAGAGACATAATTCTGTAATAATTTATTGTCCCTTCACTCAATCATCTCAAATTTAAATATAAAACAAAAAGGAATTTAAAGTTTACATACTCTGAACTCACTGTATATTATTCCATTTCCCTCAAATTATGAATTTGAATTATCCCCTTCCCTACAACACACAGAATCTAAAAAATGTCCCTAATTATCATTTCCTTCTGCTATTTAAGTTCTTGTGTAATTCCCTATCCTGGACTTATGCTTCTAAGCAATAAAATATGACAAAAGTAATTAGATATTGATTCCTTGATTGTAACTTCAGTCTTGACAGTAGAACTCTTTCTCACTGGCTTTGATGAAACAAGCAACCACATTGCAAAGGCCCAAGTGACAGAAATGACAGTGACACCCACCTAACACACAGCTAGGGCTAAAACTCTCAACCCAACAGGCCAAGAAGAAATGAACAGTGCAAACAATCAGTTAAACAGATTCTAATCCTTGGATGAACTCCAAGTTCTTAAATGCAGCACTATGAGAAACTGATCCAAAAAGTCAACTAAGCCAAGTCCCAACATGGCTAACTCTAGGAACTTTGAAATGAATAAATGTGTGTTGCCCTCTAAACTTGTGGTTAATTGTTATCTAATGATAATTACACCAACATACTCTGCCTTTGTGTCAAGTTTCTATCCCCAAATTTAAAACAGTCCAAATCTTGCTCAATTTTTTCCAACATCCTGCTCATTACCATCTCCCAATGAGGCCTTTAATAATCTGTCTTTGTGCTCCAAGACTTCCTTCATTTAGCTCTCTGGCATGCTGCATTGTTTCAGCAACTTCTAATATATTAATATAGTTACTAAAAACAAGTGATGCCAAGAAAACAGTAAACTGAATTAACCAAATAATCACAAAAATGTTCCCACCTGATTCAGATTGAGATTGTTTTCAATACTCAGAGGAATGAGATGAGGCAATACTTTTCCAGCCAGCTGTTCTTTGGTGATTCCCAACTTCTTATGAGTAAAAGTACATTTGTAAATACCTGACAGAAAAGATTGCAGCCAATTTTATAATACCACAAGTTAAAAGAAATCATGAAAACAGTATATTTATATGAAATCTTCTGGTAATTCGGGAAAGCAAAACATTTTCCCAATCACTGTCATAAAATGTAGATATTCTTACACAGATCAGAATGATTATAGCCTTCTCATTAACACAGATTTACTAAACACTATGACAAAACCATCTTCTGATTGAAGAGTACATTTAATGATAGAGCAGCATTAAAAGCTTAATCAAAAAAAAGCTTGGGGCTGGGAAGGTGGCTCAGTGGTAGAGCGCTTGCCTTGCATGCATGAGGCCCTGGGTTCGATTCCCAGCACCACATAAGCAAAAAGAAAAAAGCCGGAAGTGGCGCTGTGGCTCAAGTGGGAGAGCGCTAGCCTTGAGCTGAAGAGCTGAGGGACAGGGCCCAGGCCCAGAGTTCAGGCCCCACGACCGGACCCAAAAAAAAAAAAAAAAAAAGCTTAATCAGATCTGAGTTCAGTTATTATACTGTAGCAATGAGGTTACAGAATGCCCCCCTGAAAATTTACACCTCATACTTAAACTTTACTTTAAAACATCTAAAAGTAACAGTACAGTAACAGTACAGATCTACACTGTTACTCACTTCTTCAGTAAGAAAAACACATGGGCTTGTTGGACCCTCTTATTTTGTACTATATCTAGAGAAGATGATATCTGTATTTGTGAAGCTAGTATCCTCAAATATCTTATATTGTCAAGATTCTATCACTTTTGCTAAAATCAACACAGCCAAGGAGAAAAATTCTACTAAGACATTTATCCCATCATTTTTCAATTACTAAATGCTACATATATGAAAAGTACAACTGCTTTACAGATTGGAAATCTTACTGATACAACTGCAAAACAATGGAGTTGTATTAAAAAAACAATAACATTTCAGCTACCTAAAATTCCCATGAGGACAGCCGGTTCCTTGGATGGAATCTGTTGTAAGAAGGGCAGGATATCATCAAGTACAAACCACTTATCCAAGTATTCCAAAATCTTTCCTAAGCACACTAATGAATTCACACGAACCTATTAAAAGAGATAAATTGCATTTGTCACATAAAGTCTTTGTAATCTAGAACAAAATATTCAAATGTAAATTTAATCTTAATAAACACATATGCTAAAATCTCAAGAATAAACTAAACTTTGAAATCATATTTATAAAAATTCACTTAATTTTTCTAACTTGTTTCAAAAAAAGTTATGATCACTTTAACAAGATACTACTATACTACTGAGCTAAGATGAGGAAAGACCTCAATTCTTTTAGTTAATTAGTGGCACTGGGGATCAATCCCAGGGCTCTGTAAAATATTAGACAAACACCCTCAGCCTCAAAAAAACAAGTTAACTTTTTTCTAGGTAGAAAAAAGCAGTGCTTGGATTTGAACCCAGATCTTTATGCATCCTAGACAAATGCTCTACTTCTGACCTCTGTAGCCAGGCTTCATTTTTTTTTTCAATATTTTAAATAAAGTCCTTAGTAAGAAACACATATATTATAAAAAGCTTCCTAAAACCTAAGGACATTTCTTTGAAAACATTTAAATTATAAAAAGGAATACAGGGCTGGAAAGGTGGCTCAGTGGTAGAGCGCTTGCCTTGCATGCATGAGGCCCTGGGTTCGATTCCTCAGCACCACATAAGCAAAAAGAAAAAAGCCGGAAGTGGTGCTGTAGCTGAAGAGCTGAGGGACAGCGCCCAGGCCCAGAGTTAAGGCCCCACGACCAGACCCCGCTCCCCCCCCAAAAAGGAATACATTCTCCTTGTAAAATGATCAGTCTCATAGGAACTCATTTTAACTGGATTCCTGGATTCCATTCATTCTTAAACAGTTCAAAAACATATGCAATTATCTGTATTTGCCTAACACAAAGTTTTCTATTTATAAATATCCTTAATACAGTTACCAAAACTTTCTACATATTAAGCTTTAGTAATTATATTAACTACTGTATTAAATGTATTAGACTGTACCAAGTGTCCTAGAACTACATAAGAAATAAAATATTGATTTAATTTTATTTTCTATTATGATGTTTATTAGTCCTTCAAGTCATAACTCATATAGTTTAAAGAGTATTTTACCTAACTCTGTAGAATTCTGTTTTTTCCTTATTTTCAAGGAACAGAATTAAAATACAATTCTATTTCAGGACTTATCTTTTAGCAATTTCCTAGTTAAAGTTTTCAACTTTAGATTATAGGTCTAGATGCAATTCAGAAATTCATATTTGTCGAGTTGAATTAGATAAAAACACTAAAAATGTTATCTAAAATACATTTAAGTGTTGGGAGCAGTACACAAATGATAGAACATCTACCTACTGAGTGCTCTGAAATCAGAATGCCACTACCAATAACCAACAAAAAAGAAATGAAATACACTTAAAATATAAAATGCAGGGCTGGGAAGGTGGCTCAGTGGTAGAGTGCTTGCCTTGCATGCATGAGGCCCTGGGCTCGATTCCTCAGCACCACATACGCAAAAAAAAAGCCAGAAGTGGCGCTGTGGCTCAAGTGG